GAGGAATCCTTCAGTATTTCAGGGGTGAATGGACCACAGGTAATACCTGAAGAACCTTAAATACACACTTCCCTACCTCAATACGGAGGATTTACACTTTAAACACTAAGGAATTTAAGAGGAAATTAATCCTACTTAGAAGAGAAAAAGCTTTGAGATGCATATTCTCTGGCAAATCCCTCTCTAGCTTTTAAAAGCACATTAAATACAAAAAACTTAAGGAAACCTTTCTGTATATCTCGAGTTAGCCCTCTTCCACCAAATGGAAGGTGTTCCATCCATAAATAGTTTGTTTTCAGTTCCTTATGGTAACAAAAAGGTACAGAGGGCTTGTTTCACAGAACTTTTCCAATTACTTATCACTGTTTCAGAGCAGGATAAAACAACTAGGACATAACAGCCAGCTTTCTCCAGCATCAAGAACTTGATATCAACTTCCTAATGTTCTTATACTAGAAAAAATAATTGGAAGATCCTATACAAAGTATAGTCGCAGTAAAAATACTAGGATTAACAGGCTTAGCAGTGGCTTTCCAGTAATATTAGTGCAGCTATAGCACAAATCACAGTAGTTGGACCAATACAAAGGTTTCAGCCTAAAAGCTGTAAAACACTAAAATATCCTCACTTAAAGAAAAATTCTCACATAAAGAGAATTTTAAAAGAAGCTTTGATAGAGGGAGGGCTAGGGGCCAGGTTAACTCATGTCAGAAACCAACAAACAGTCACTTTGGTTGTACTGCAAGAACAGACTTTTTGCCTAAGTTTTAGGCAGAACAGTAGTTTGGACAGTGACACATCAAATCCATCTTCTTCCCCAATAACCATCTGCTCACTTGTTATACTAAGGAACTCACTAAAACACAACACAAAACAATAACTAGAAGTATAAAGAAATTCCACGTATGTCGATATAAATCCTAGATTTAGAAAAGCACAATTGACTCCATTTTGTTTACAAAGCTTCATTTCAGATTCTCAAACGTGCAAGACTGACTTCAAAGCCCCACACAAGGGTGCCTGAGCTAACTCGATGTGACAAGCCCAGAACGATCCCTTGCAGCACAGCAGTGCCATCCTTCTCAGGTATCGACCTCCCAGCAGCACGGATCCATACGGCAACCCACAGGGAAGCTTCCACTGAAGGGGCAGAGGCTCAAGGCAACGGATCAGCTTCCTCCTCTGGCTGGCCAAGTTTCTTACAACACTTGCCTCCCTGCCTTCCCTAGAATAAAGGTGTTAATCTACTTCATATGACCTCCCCCACAATTTGGGAGAGAAGAGGCATTGCCTTAATGGCTGACCCCCCTTACCACCAAGGCCTAAGCCTTTCACATGCTGGTAGATAAGAGAGTGGCTCTCTCTGTTCTGCGCATGACCAGTCTCACTGCATTAATTTAAGTGTGGAAGCCTGCACTGTCAAAGATCCCAGCAAAACCAGCTATGGTTTCAGCTAGGAAAGAATTTATTTGTTTTCCAATAAAACCACTTTTAAGACAACTGACACGAACAGATCAAATTATGTTTTAGCATGTCCACCTGGAAATTGACCCTAAAGGGAACGAGCACTCAATGCTTTACTGTTACCCAAGTGCATTAGATTACACACACATACATACATATATACAATTACACATGTATAGATGTATTTTAAGAACATGACATTTTGAAGAAGCCATCTATCTTTCATCATAACAGATTTACATTCAGTTTGTGGCCCAGTCCTTGGAAAAAATTCTGAAAGACGACAGCTAAGTGTTCACGTTCATGAGGTAAAACAAGGCAGCAGGACAAGCTCCCTGTACAGGAAGGCAGCAGTCCTGCTTCCCCCCACCCCATTAATCTAATTGTCAGCTTTGGCTCTCATATAATCCTGTGAATCAATTCAAGTCTCCGAAAAGGCTAGGAAAGTATCCCAGCAAGGAGGATAGCTTTCCACTGAGACAAGAAAGAGGTCCTACAAGCAACAGAGTTGGGTGTTTCTGCTCCATTCCCGGGCACCTTCGACAGTCCTTGTAGCACTGCAGTGAACCACCCAGGGGGCTGACCAAGCCAAAAAGTAATCCCATAGAAAGGTTACCCTTTCAGCTGGATCAGCTCACCGCTCAGGCACACAAGCACAAGTTCTGGTATTAGGGACAGGCTTAGAAATGCATGGTCCAGGCCAGGACCAGCACAGGAAAGCAAGGGAAGCCTTCCATTGCTGCAGAACTTCACTGAGGAAAAAAGCAAGCCTCTTTCTGCCAGTCTTACTATTTCTTACAGAGGACTTCAACTCCTTTGAAAAGTGAGGTTTGGACTGTCCAGGAGTGACAGACTACATCATACTTCAGTGGATGAAGAGGCTGAAATGTGTCCCAATTCACAGCATTTTTTTTTTTTTTTTTAAGAAGTCTGAAAAACAGTCTTACCTCCAAAGCCGCAGGAAGAGTTTAAATAAACATTTCTTCCTAAAAGCCTTCAACTTTGGTTAACCAGATACTCTCCAGCCAGCTGACTCATGGCTCGATTTCCTCTCTCTTGCAAAGCCCTTCAAATTCCACATTTTCCCCTTTACTCTCAACTACCCCTCCTCATCCATCCTCAACATCTTGTGTCAGAGAGCTATCACTTTCAGAGTCTATTAAGAAAGACTTACTAGTACAGGAGTATCTATGAGCTCTAGTCTATGTTCCTCATATTGCAGCTTGTACTGGCATTTAATTCTCTGTTGACTGCTTCCAAACTTTAAGAAAAGCACTCAAGCCAATTTCTTTTAATTTAGACTCTAATTACTTTAAAGTTTGTTTTAAATTCATGCTGACATGCTGTCTCCCCCCTAGGATAAATACATAGCTTCACAGCCCTATCATCCCAAGAACAAGGAAAGCTCTGCTCCATGGAAATTTTCTTACACAGCAAGCTCGCTGCATCAACCTTTGAGTCAGGCACCTCTGTTTTTAACTGCATCACGTGCTCTTCTAGTTGTTGCTGATGTTGCTTAGGTAAGTAGCTGTCTTGAATTGTACAGTATGCCCATTCCTTCATATGCACACACAGATTACTACCTCCTCAGCTTTATCACTGATCTGCTCGCTCACTACCCTTTTGCTGGACAGTAGTTCAGATTAAAAAGCCCACTAAACTAATAAAACTCAGTTCTTGAGAAGCATATTTTACAGAATCTTTACACAAGCTGCCCAGTTAACACTTGCAAGATAGCCTCTTAACCTGGATGGGCTCTAGCTAAACCAGGGCAAAACTGCACAAACTAAGTTCAGTTAACCTGCTTGTTTGAGTTACCTGAGCATAGTCAGTACCACCCACCTTTTACCTGTACCATCATAAAGTAGTCAGCTCACCACAACGGCAGGAGCCTCCAACATAAAAGCCAAAAGAAAATGGGGGAGGAATGAGCAAAGTAAACCCAGTAGGAAGCAAGCAGGAACAAAAGCATTCATGCAATAGTGGCAGGGTGGTACTCAATGACATTCAGCTAGTTTCTACTCTAAGAGACAGTCCCTCCTTAGATGATTTATCTGCACCAGTTAGATGATTAAGAGCCCTGGAGGTCAAAAGCAGTAATTTAATTACTAACAGACAAGCCCTTGTCTAGGACAGCCTGGAGAAATTCAGAACACTGCACCAGTGAGGTTCTTTAGTATAATCCCTTCCTTCTTGCTCATTTTGGGGACATGTGAAATATTTCAGTATGGATACTGCTGAAGAGCCTTATGATCCAATTTAAAACAAATCTTGGAAGAAGCTACGGTTTGCAGGACTCTGTCCTAAGATGCAGTTTGAAACCCAGCTCTAAAAACTTGGTGTTTGGTGTTCTGTTGTAACAAGTTAGCATCACAAACTAAAGGGAGACATCAACAACAGTTTACTATCTATACCATCCTAATACTTATTCCATTCCACAGGTGCAAAGACTTAAGGCGAGAAAAGTTAGCTGCTCCTGTTCCACTGAACAAACTTACTTCCTCATCTACTAGAAACAAGCAATGATGGGTGGGTAATGGGTTTGTTTGGGTTTTTTTAATTATTATTGTTTGTACCATGTACATGCCAGGAAAGTACACCCAATTCAGAAAGTAAGTTTACTTCCTATACATGGCATTCTACCAATGTTTACTCAAAAAAATCTTGTTAGTTAAATCACATAGAAGTGTTGAGTTTCAGAATATCCAGCTCAAATCTAGAGTATCTGAGGCCAAAAAACCTAGAAGGTAGTAGTGTGGAGTGAAGCTTCCCACTGTGTTTTCCCCATCCAAAGTCTCTTTATACAGGCAAAACTACTGCTAATACCATATAATAGTTACTACTAGGTATTACTCAGCAAAAGTAACTATCTACATATCCCTGCAGGTTAACTCCCTATGTAAATTCCTTCTGTAGTCTGAAGTACTGTGCTAACCTTCCTTCCATTTCTTGCCAGGTATTTATATTTGCATTATAAAACACAGCTGAAGTAGAATGCAATAACAAGCAGTTGTAACATGCATCTGTGTGTGCAGAGTAATCCTTGTATGGGGATAGCTCCAGATCCTCTGCACAGGCAGGTTAGAAGTTTCACACTAATCCAACAGCTGATTAGTATTTTATATTTGGTGGCAACACTGAAGACATAACCAGAGCCATAGGTAGTTACAGTGCTAGATGCTGTACAGGCATGAAAGACAGCTGAAGTAAGTCTCAGTTGTAAAAACAAAACCAGGCTTGGCACTGCTATACAAGATCAGAACTTTCTTCAAAATTCTTCACGCTCAAGTGCATTTGTACAGAGCTTCATATCTATTGTGATTTACATGACAAGATTATGCTGCAAGAATGCAAAACTCATAACAGCACTTTGTTTTCAGCTCCACAGCCACTTCTGTCAGAGATCTGAGAGAACAGAAGGGCTGAGAAGACTGACAACAGAAGCAGAGAGTTTTTTGCCTTGACACCTTGCCCTGTAACAAGCTGTGGGGGAAGAGGGAGGGGGAAATAAAATACTCAAGTTGGGAGTATCTTACTTGAATAGCCTGTCGTCCTTGCTGAGCATCTGCCAGGAGCTGAATGGTGAGAGTCCTGGAATCCTGTAGGGCATCTTGGAGGTAGATAAAGCTGTGACCCACGTGTCGTCCCATGGTACATTCCCGACATATGGGGACAGAGCAAGTATCACAGTAGAAATGCAGTACCTAGAAGAAAAAAAAAAATCTGTACCACTATCTAATGAAGAATTAAAGAGAAAATAGAGCCAGGATGTGAAAAAATCCAACAGCTCAAATATAAAGGAGATGGTTAGAGGCAGTAGCAATAGGCAAAGACTTCACAATAGTTTCTCCACAGAGCGAGAGCTATCCTTCCCAGTAAGCTCCAAATCATAGTCTCGGTTAGATGGAAGTGTCATTGTTTTCTTTGCAATACAATACTAGGAAGAGTGTCCACATCAGCTGCTCTTAAGAGCGGAAGCCATCTGCCAACACTTGCAGATTGGAGATGTCATCTATGGCAAGTTTCAGGTGAAGACTTTTCCTGCATACACAAACACCACATTCTCTTAAGTGGATCATTTAATAATCAATGCACTGGAGAACTGCAGCACCAGCACACCCCACCCCCCGGAAGGGGAAAACAAATTATGCATGCTGATAACCATCCTTTATGTTTTCAAAATATAGAAATCCCTCATGTTCAGAGCAGTGACAGCATTAAGGCAAGGCTCCCTCCTGCCACTCCCAACAGCAAAGCAAAAAAACCTTTGCTATGACAGTGTTTCTATGTTAGTGATACTTAAGAGATGCTTAAGTTGGAAAACAAGACTGCAACATTAGCATGCCTATCAGAGCATTTGAATGCTACAGAGAACTGTGGGTAACCACTAAAACCCCATTCTATTCACAAAGCACTTTAAAACCCTATATACAAATCACAATGAAAGTCTTACACCAAGATGTTAGCCTATGAAGTTGGATCCATTCATCGGCCATAACTGTTCCCATTCCACCCAGTAGAGGGAAGTAGCACACAGAAATAGCATCTTCCATGTTTTCTCAGAGGCAAGCAGAAATCAGCTGTCTTGTTTTCAAAGATGCAAGTGAAGGAGTACAACACTTTCACACAAGCAAGTTCTGTATTCAAAGTCTTGCTCTTAACTACATACACTATTTTTGTTAGAGTGTAATGTTAGAAAATATAGATTACCATGGAAGAGTCAAATGGCAAATACAATGGCAAACAAGGTTTCATACTACAAACAATTTTTCCATCACCAGCTATTTGAAATCTACCTCACAGAATGGAGCAAGAGCAGAACAAAGATTCGACAAGTGTTTGATATGCCTGTCTTCTCACAGCTGTCATCCAGCCACTCCTGATTCCAGCTAACAGTTCATGATATGGTGCATAACATCCCCCTTTCCCTTCTCCCTCAAAAGGAAGGGGGAGGACAGGACAGGTGATTCCCTCAGATTGCCTATGCTGCATAAAGTGACATTTTAACCTCCTATAAGCACAACAGCTGAAGTGGTATATGGATTAATTTCTCAAAGGGGTATGTGTGTGTTTATGCACACATGTCAGATTTTACTAAAACTTTTTTTTTTTCAAGTTAGCTTTTGCTGTAGGGAAACTGCAACAGATTTATGCTTTGCTTCTGTTCAAATACTAACCCCCCGAGCAGTGTCTCAGATCCTCCATCTTTTATAAGTAAAAAGCTGCCTTGGCTCTGAAATGCATTATTCAAATACATCATCTCCCTCAACTAGAGGGTTCCTTGTCTTTACACTGTGGTTGTCTAAATCTGTATACAATGTTCACTTGCTCATGCAGTTCTGTAATTTTGCTGTTGAAATTACAGGGAATGTTTATTACATGTTGCTGAATGACTCCAGTTAAACAACTGAGAAGTTGAGAGAGAATGAAAACCAAGACAGGGTATCAAGTTAAGTCATATGAATCCGATATACTTTAAAAACATACAGCAGGGATTTGGGGCCTCAATCAAGCACAGCAGCTGAAAGGAAAATGGTGACCATATGAACAGAAGTCCAGAACAGAAGTTAAATCTGTTATTAGTCCTCCAAAATAGTCCACACCAGAAACAAAAGCTTGGTAAAACACCACAGATCAGTCCTGTTACCCAAGCACTCCTGCTGCAAGGTACCAGCATCCAGTGGTAAAGAGTCATCTAGCCATTCAAACCAAAGAGAAACTAAGTTTAAGCTGTTCAGTTGTCTCTTGCCACCCACCAAAATGTGGTGGAAAACATCACTCCTGAATTTAGAATGAAGAGAGACAAGAGCGATAATCTCATTTCAGAAATATGCAGATTACGTAGGACATGGCAGGGGAAAGTCTTGCATAAATACTACAGAGCCATTGATAAAGCCTCACATTTGTTTCTTAGTAAACAAAATGGTGAAAACAACCTAGATTTAAATCTGAGAGTAAGAAAATTGACAGGCTTGGGCGAAAAGTAGACAGTGATGGACTGATCTCCATCATTACACTTATTTAAAATGGTTACCTTAAATACACACAGGAGAAAGCATAAATGCATAATCCCTTCTGGTCTCAGTGGGGAAGGGAGTTAGCCACCAGAAGAGAACTGCAAGTTCAGCCAGCTTCAAGATAAACTGGGAACCCCCCAGAAACTCCTTTCTGGACACAAAAGACTACAACAGAAACCCCAAGCTTAGCAGAGGTACAAGAAGAGCAGTTTTCCTGTAGTCAATCTCACATACTCACTACTGCCAAGGAGCACCCAACAGGCTGTACATCAGCTCCACCAGCAGTGGGGCCACACTCCCAGAGAATTAAACTGGAAAGTACCCAGCTGTGCAGGGTGCAACAGCAAGGGGGATTTGTGCCAGCCAGGCCAGGCTAACAGAGCTTGGAGCACAGCATCCAGCTTGCCTGCGCTTGCAACCACAACCAGGCATTTATTGTTAAGCTCAAGCCTGCTCACATCCCAATCCCTAGGTCATGGCCACAAAGGTCACGTACTGCTAGATTAAGTTTCTATGCCTGTTTCTAAATAGAAGGGGGAGAAAATAAGTCAAATCCTCCTTTCCCCACACACCCCCCCAAACAAGCAACCCCCTGCAAAAAATTCATACCAACAATTTAAGTAGGACAATAGATGACCGTGTTCTCAATTTAGATGTGATGCCCTTGTAGTGTACCTAAAAGGTTGGCAGAGCCCCCCCCCTTCTTCCAATTTCAGCAATGTGAAAATGCCACCCCACATTTCAGTTGCACTGTTAATATAGCAACATACTACTCCTTCTATGCTTATATGACAAACAACAAGACTGGTCTTGAAATGTGGATGGGCAGGGGTTGTGAGAAGGAAGGGAAGAGTAATACCAAGTCTTCCATAACAGAGATCAGCTTATGATACTCAGCTAAAGAAAAAAAAAAAAACCACCACAACCAAACACACCCGCCAAAAAAACCCCAAACAAAACACAGTACTTTAAGGAAAGTCCTAGAACTTCCCCCCCTCCACCTTATCTGAAGAGGCAGAGATGATAGAGTCAAAAGATCCATCAAGCTGTAAATTAACTATTGTCCTGTTAATTTCACTATTTTCCCAAATGTATGAAAAAACTGTTTTATAAGCAAAAACCTTCAAACACACTGGTGTTTCCAAACCACACAAATGTTCTGATAGGCAGCAAGGAAAGAGAGAAACGTGAGGAAAGCAGAGACAGATTTCTCCTCTCAAAGAAATTCAGAATTGTGTAAATTGCATGCGATGAATTTTTTTTTCTATAGTAATTATTAAGTAATTAAGTAAAAGTACAATTGTTTTAAGATAAAAACTGGTGCCTTTCTGACACCCATTTTGGTAACTATCTAGTAAGGGAAAAAAGATTCATAAGCAAGTTTAAAAAAAAAAGAAGATAAATCTAGCAAACTGCTTCACTACATTAATTAGTATTTTAGAATTTCCATCAAAATTAAATGAAGAGAGAAGTCAGAAGCAAGAGGGGAATAGTTTTAGAGATAGTTAGAAGTGATTTATTTTAAAATAAATCAGCTATGGGTTGATTATTTCCCAAACAGGAAATATTTCTGAATTGGTGGCATACAATTTTAGACACAAAACAATAAAGGGAGCCTACTTCAATTTAAACAGAATCAGTGAACCATATTACAGGGCTATTCATCTTTTACAGCCACAGCAGCCCAAGAAATACAACAGCAAGGCCATAAATGTGATTGCTTCAGGAAAGGCTGTACAGTGCACCGTAAAAACATTTTACAACAGCAGGAATTCCTGGGTGTCGCTCTCCCCATTTTTTGGTCCATCTGCTTTCAAAGGGGGCAGGGGGATGGGCGGAGATGTTGTTAAACGTCCCCTGGGACTGCACAGCAATCAATCATCATCTGATGAATGGCCACTAAAGTTAAACCCTGACCCCACTCAACAATTCCCACACCAGCCCTCCTCTCCTTACTGCTGACCAGCTTCCAGAGTGCCCCCCCACCTTCCAGCCCTCACCAAAATTTCCCAAATACCAAGCCCAGACAAAAGCAATGGAATGTGGTAGGCACCATGACAGAGGAGAATTCAGCAGAAAAAACAGTTGAGAAGGCTTATCCTTAACCTGTGTTTAAATAAATGTTCCTTCAGCAGTACTCAGTGCCTTTCTCCTCCCTGCTTGCAACCACTTGATTTCTTTCATTTCAGGGCACATTTAAGAGCATATATGCACACAGTTGTCAACAAAGCATATGAAATCTAACCATGTTTAAGCATTTGTTTTCTGTCATGACATTTCAGTGTCTTGCAACGATTTTATTTAAGCCTACAGTGTTAAGGATTTGTACAAGGCAGCAATACATAAGGTCACATTATTTTAAAATATAAGTCTGATGCTCTAAAAGCTACCCTGTAATCTTAACCAACAATTAAAAAAAAAAAAATCTACCGACAAAACAGTAGCCTCTTGGTTTCTGCTTTTGGAAAAGTTTCAGTACAGCATTTGTAAGTTAACTTAGTTTGAGTTTATGACCAAAAAAATCATACCTACCATAGTCAAGTCTAAAGTTTTCCATTACTAAAGGTGTTTTATTATCTAGTTCCCTTGACAATAACTCAAACACCAGTGGCTTTGTTAGGTAGTGTGTAAGGCTTAGAGGACTATGAATTCAGTATAAACTAATTTTCCAATGAATTTTGGTCC